GGGAGAGGGGAAGGAACAGGAGGAGGAGGAGGAGGGAGGCGGAATCCGGAGTCACTGCGTTTCATTCAAAGAAAGCAGAAGGCTTCGGCAATTTGGTATGCGTCCTCTTCCCCCCTCCGACTCTCGGAGAGGAAGTTTAACCTCTTCCCGCCTGGATCCCTGTGTGCAGCGCAGCCTGATGGTTTCTCTTCAGGTTAAAGGTGTCTCCAACAAAAACAGTCTCTTGGGGGAAGTCTTCAGAACTTCCTGCAGTTCTGACCACAAACTGCAACGAATTCCACTGAAAACCCCAGACAGGACACTGTTTTCTGACCTCAACAGTTTTCCTGAACTTAAGGGGTTTTCATTTGTTCACCTGAGATTTACAGTTGTCCCTTATTTGTATTTTGATTAGTTAAAAATGCTTTTAAATTGTAAATCCACCTTTTTTTTTGTCTGTAGATGTAAAACGGTAATACTGACAGAATACTACTTCATAAATGTTTCAGAAGTGCGGGATTCACACTGAGAATATTTTATTATACTAAATACAAAATAAGCCACGATTAGAATTCATTAGTGCTGTGAAGATTAACTTAGAAATGTTAATAATCTACTTAGTTTGACATTTGTTTAATTCCCACTTTATTTTCACATTTGTTCCTTTTCAAACTTCAGTGTTTTTTTTTTAATAGTACACTTTAGTTTTAGTTCAATAAATATCTGATGCATAAAAAACAAATTTACGATGCAAAAGTCTTTTTATCATTATTTTAACCCAAGTACAGATTAAAACTGCACATGATGTTGAAACTGTTAGGCAATCAGAAATGCCTTAAAAATAAAAACCAGAAGACTTCATGGTTTCAGTCCAAAGCTTCAGGCTCCCTGCTTCATTGGACATTCTTTAACTAACAGCGCCCTCCAGCGGCAGGCTTCCGAACTGATCCAGTAACATCAAGGTGTCTGCCAAAGTACAACTTACTTATTTATTTATTTATTTATTTATTTATTTATTTATTGGTGAGTTAGAAAAACAGCAGGGAGATTAATAATTTGTAGAAAGGTGATTATTCAATAAATGCTGGAACTTTAATTGTTTTGCAAATAAAGTGTTTTATCATATAAAACACATTGTTAGCGCAATGGGGCTGAAAGCCAAAATAATGCTCAAAAACATATTTGAACAATGCTAAAAAAAATAAGCAAAATACCTGATAATGTGCAGAAGGAAGCTTCAATTTCAAATCTGTGTCCCCCCCCCCCCCACCCCCCACCCCTCATTCCTTCATGTGTGCATTACAGTTCTGCTCCATCCTCACTTGGTTCCTGATTTCCCTAAAAGCTTTTACGGCTCCGGATCTGTAAAGTGGTTCCTCAGCTCAATACCACAAATTGAATCGTTACATTTCCTTTAGTCAGTAGCAGAGAGCTGTAAGCAATTATCAGCAAAGCTCACTTTTTAGACCCATCAACACAGGAGGGGATGTGGGAGTGCTGATTGTCAAAAAACAAGGGAAAAAAAGCAGTTTTTATTTTTGATACACTGCTGCAAAGAATCAAGAGTAGAAATGAAACTTCAATTTATTATTATTATTATTATTATTATTATTATTATAACAATAATAATAACAACAACAACAACAACAACATTATCAGTAATAAATTCATATAAACAAAGATGGGGATAAAATATAAAAAATAAACATGTTTTGTCTTAACAGGGTTCAAAATTGACACTATTGCAAAAGCAAGATACTGATATCTGCTCTGAGCATCATTTATACGATTTCCTAAGTTCTTTTTTTTATGTACTATTATTACTTTTCACTGTCCACAAGTTATAATCCTCAAACAGAGCTTTCATTCATGCTATTCTCCTTTTAACTGTGATCGAAGCAACAGGAACAAGAGAAAATAACATCCTGTGATGGCAGAGGAAACAAAGACCTTTTAACACCACAACCAAAATGTTTTTACACAAACCTCCTTCCCAGAATCTAAAATGTACGAAAATGAATGAGAGAAAACGTCTCTCTGGCTGTAAAGTGATTTTTTTTCTCGCTTTTTCTTATTTCCTAAGTGAAAGTTATAAAATGTAGCACTTTTTTGTACTTACTGTGAAAGAGCTGGCTGCATTTGTGGGAATGCCTCAATGTGTGGTGGTTCTTGTGAAGAGTATTATACAGTGCTTTGCACCGCTGAGACTTCTGTGAGCCAGTGAGGCGATGGGCCCTGTGCGGATGGTCCTCAGGGACTACGAGCAGGGCTTGAACTGCGAACACCACCACCAGCAAACACAAAGTGTGCATAGTGATGTGCGTACAAAAAAACTACACTGGGACGGTTCATATAAAGAATTTAAAAAAAATCTGTCAGACTTCATTAACTGCAAAGTGAAAAATTAAACCAAATTCCAAATTTTTCCTAATTACTCTTTGAAAGAGGAGGAAAAAAGATCAATCCAAACATTTTCTTGTGAAATCCAAGAGTAGCAAACTGCACGCATTCCTACACTTTCCGTAAGTCCTTTGGCCAAATAAACAGCCCTGTGGACTGAACTATCTTTAAATCCAGTGGGAATGTTTCTCTTCTATGGTCCAATGGGATCCTAATGAGGGCAACTCTTTATACAACATGCATGAAGTTCACTCCCTTCTCTAGCCCACAATGCTGTCCACTCAATAGAAACAGTGTCTCTCATCTTCCCGGCCTATTTATACGTGATAAGTCTCTTTTTAATATTCAAAAGGGGAGTTTGTGGATGTTCTGTCCTTTCTTATGATGGTTCTGTGCATGTAGAAGGATTGTGGGGGTGTTCCTGTAGACTACACGCTGGGCGCCTTTTCAGATTTGCTGGCCTCTTCACAAAACCTCACCCTCGCTTTCAGCATAGAGGTAATGGGGTGACGGCCAGGCAACGAAGCCCGCATTCTTTTTTTTTTTCCCCTTCCCGGGCTAAGACAATTTCATGGCTTTCATTTCCAATCTCACCGAGCAGCATGGCATGAAACAAAACATTTCCACTTAAAAAAGATGCTGCCTACTCAGAGGAAAATACAATTATCTTTTCTAGTTTCCCCCCCCCCTCCCTCCTCCAGATTGTACTGTGGGGTAAACATTAACAAAAACTTCCTAAAGTTGCAGTTTGGGTCACCTTGGACTCAGGGAGGAAGTCACAGGTGCTGCTTGTTGAAATACCCTTCAGATTCTCTTTAACAGGATGTTTTCCCATTTGCCTCACATTCTCTGCAGCCTTTTTTCATTTATGCCCTGTCCTCCACTCCTTTGAATTATTCATTGTGTTACTTTTTAAAGACATCTTAAATTTACAGCTCTGTAAATTTGTTATTACAACTCAAAAGTGGTTCAAAAGATCAAATAACTCGGAGTAAAAGATGTGTTTGGATGATTTCTTGTTTTAGTTGCTGGTGTCATTTGAAAAGAATCATGAATACACTTAGAGATTGTTTTATTCTAAACTAAAACTCGATTGTCTGAAACTAATTATATACCAATAGATACAATTTTATTTTGTGAGCCCATTATTACGGATCATTCAGTCCCTGTACAAGCACTGTGAGATTTTTGTTCGCATCACCGGCTGTAAGTTGGACCCCTTCAGAGTGGGAGTTGACCACCACCAGGGAACAAGCGGTAGATTATGGATGGGTTGATACAATTCCCATCCTCTGCTTTTAGTTTGTTTGGGTGTTGTACAGAAATAAACGATTAAACTCTTTAAAACATTGAACAAATATCCAAACTACATTAACAATTTTACAATAAAAACAATCTTTTTAATTTATGACTGAAATGTGTCGCCAGGATTTGTCATGTTAACTAATATGGCAAGGTATGAGGGCCAAAATTAAGAGTACTGCACAATCAGCGGTTGCTATATTGTTGTAGCAGGAGCAGGGGCGGTTATAGAGGCGAGGCCACAGGGGGCATTGGCCCCAGCTGAAATCTGATTACCCCCCTGAAGTGCCCCTGTCCTGTCACTCATCTGTTCTTTGCCAGAGAGCGATAAGGATGGATGCAGTTCCATGTTCAAGGTGCTAATGAGTCAAACAGTAAAGTCCAGCATGAATCAAGCTCAGAGACGTCTTCTTTTCTTAAGAAAGTTAGAACAATCCTGCAAAAAGTCTTTCAACTGACAAATGATGACTGGATTTTGTCACATGCTGTGTTTGAGAGTATTTAATTTATTTACAGTAAAAATTAATGTAAAATTGTTGAGGAGAATTTACCGTACAAACTTTTTTTAAACTACATTACTTTCCAAGTATTTGAACATGTGTGACTGTTTTAAATGTCTACACCATACCAAAACAAGGGATTTGTGAGCAAGGAACAAATTCTTGAACAAATACCTGGCCCCTCTTTGAATATTGTGGTCCCTTGATGGCTGCTGTTGAAAGTTTATTAATTTATTGAAGATAAAACTCTTCACCGGATCCTTTTGATTCTGGATGGATCGACAGGAGACAACCTTTGAGAAAATTAATACAGAATTTATTAATTACATGTAAAACCCACCGAACAGATTTGAAAATCTGGGAGAACACTAGACCGATACTTCCCTTTGATCGTCAAGCGCAGGGGTCCCCAAACTTTTTCCTGTAAGGGCCACGCAACTTCTCCCTTCTCTGGTGGGGGGCCGGAGTCAGTTTGTAAC